TTTTTTTACAATATTGAGTTTTCCCTCCAGGAAATTTGTTTTCCTCTTGTATTAGGACTTGCTTATTGCCCTCCATAAAATTTTTTTTTTTTTTTTGCCTGCGTCGGGTCTTCGTTGCTGCACTCGGGCTTTCTCTAGCTGCGGTGAGCGGGGGCTACTCTTCCTTGCGGTGCACTGGCTTCTCATTGCGGTGGCTTCTCTTGTTGCAGAGCACGGGCTCTAGGCTCGCAGGCTCAGTAGTTGTGGCGTACGGGCTTATTTCTCCGCTGTTCTTTCTTTCTTTCTTTCTTTCTTTCTTTCTTTTCTTTCTTTCTTTCTCTCTCTCTCTCTCTCTCTTTCTTTTCGTTCTTTCTTTCTTTCTTTTTCTTTTTCTTTTTTAACATCTTTTTTGGAGTATAATTGCTTTACAATGGTTAGTTTCTGCTGTATAACAAAGTGAATCGGCTATACGTGTATATATATATATATATATATCTCCCCATATCCCCTCCCTCTTGCGTCTCTCTCCCACCCTCCCTATCACAAAGCACCAAGCTGATCTCCCTGTGCTATGCAGCTGCTTCCCACTAGCTATCTATTTTACATTTGGTAGTGTATATATGTCCATGCCACTCTCTCACTTCGTCCCAGCTTACCCTTCCCCCTCCCCATGTCCTTAAGTCCATTCTCTACGTCTGGCAGGCAGATTCTTAACCACTGTGCCACCAGGGAAACCCTGCCCTCCATAAAGCTTTATCACTTTTTTCAAAAATTTCTGGTGCATTTCTTTTTTGTAATTCTACTTATTTTATAATGTTTTGCCATTTTGAATGAGATTTTTTAATTAAAATTTCTACTTGGTGGTGGAAGTATATAGAAAAATTATTAATTTCTCAATTTTTACCCTGTAGGTAACTATTTGGGGTAGCACTCTTATTAGTTCTCATAGTTTTTCAGTTGATTTTCTTTTACCTTCCAGCTAATTAATTGTATGTATAATCTGTAAATACTCAAAGTTCACCTTTTCTTCACAATATTTATATTCGTATTTCTTTTTTTATTTTTTCTAATTTCATTAGCTAGGATCTCCAGAATGATGATAAATAATAGCAGCTATATTGGGCCTACATCTATCTCCTTATCAACTTTAATTTTTAATTGCAAGCAATGTTACAGCAAAAATTTTTTTTAATTTAATAATGAAAGAAAAAGCACCCTGAATCCCACGTGAAAACAAACTTTAAAAATTAGTAATAAACACAGACATAGAAAACAAACTTGTGGTTACCAAAGGGGAAAGAGGGGGAGGGGGATAAATTAGGAGTTTGGGATTAAAACATACAAACTACTATACATAAAACAGATAAACAAGGACCTATTGTACAGCACAGGGAACTGTATTCAATATCTTGTAATAACATTTAATAGAAAATAATATGAAAAAGAATAGATATATATGTATACCTGAATCACTCTGCTGTACACCTGAACCTAACATAACATCGTAAATCAACTATATTTCAGTAAAATTTTTTTTTAATTACTAAAAAAATAATTGTTTGTACGTGTATAGAAAGGGTAAGGAAGGACATACATTGAGGTACTCTGGGTAGTTCTTTCAGGTGAGTGGAATTCTGGAGCAGGAATAAGGGGAGTGGAGAACCACTTTCTGCTTTGAGCACCTGTGGATAGCTTGGCTTTTGGCAAGGAGCAATTTCTACTTTTATAATTTTAAAATGCATCTGGGACACAACATTGTAAATCAACTATACTCCAATAAAATTTTTTTAAAAAAAGACTAATGTCAAATAGCAAAAATAAATAAATAAAATATATTGGGAAATTTATTAATACAGTTGAATAGTTCTGAATTTAATATATCAAATGTGAATACATTTAATAAACAGATTTATTACCTTAAGTATAAAGATATTATATGCTAAGGCTTTTTTCATTTTGCAAAAATATTGACTTAATAAAGAAATATGTGCTCATAAAAAATAAAATAAAATAAAAAATGCATCTTGGAAAAAATCTGAAGAGTATAAAGTATGCAAAGACTTGTTTTTGGATATATCAAGATTTAGATATGCGCACATATTTAATGTCTACAATTTAAGTTTTGATCACTAAGTTAAATCTCAACTAGGTGAGATCAAGATTAGATAAATAGATGATAGACTGATATAGTTATAGATATATAACCACTTGCTGTTACTAGAAAGTCCAAAAACAGAAACATGACACAGAAGAGACTTGGGTACAAAGGAAAAGCTTGCAAATTACACAGGGCAGAAGTCCGGGGCAGGGCAGTAGCAGCTCTATTCTCCTTCCCAGGCTGCCTAGGAAAATATGATCGAGGAAATTATTTCCTGGGCTGAAAAACTTATAATTGCTCTCTGATGTCATCAGATCTCAATGATTTCCCATCAAACGTTTTCTTTCCTAGACCCCACGGGGAGTTTAGCAACCATGGGAGGGCATCTCTAGTATTTGCCTCTGTGTGTAGGGTGCCACATCGATCACAGTCCTACCCTATCTTATTACTGCCTGCGTGTTAGAACAGGACTAAACCCACACTTTTCGTTGTTCTCTTTCAGGATTTCCAATGAGCACTCCCCCAAACTCCAGATCCGGAGTCACAGTTACTTGAGGGCGGTCAGTGAGGTCTCCATCAACCGAAGCCTAGACAGCCTTGACCCTGCGGGCCTGCTCACATCACCAAAGTTCCGCTCCAGGAATGAGAGCTACATGCGAGCCATGAGCACCATCAGCCAGGTGAGCCCTGTCGCTGCATCTGTGAACCGTACCACGGTTGGTGGAAAACAAGAGGGCATGACGTGAGGAGGTTGACACCCCCCCAGAATGATGCTGATGGGTCTGGCAGGAGGTCAGGTCTAAATGCTGCCTGGTTTGGCCACAGGGGGCTCCTGGTACCAACAGTCTACCAGCAGTGGAGGGGTCCTTGGCAGATGGATAAAGCACATCAGGGGAGTCCTTGGAAATTCCTTAGCAGTCAGTTGGCACCAACAAATTAGTCATTAAGGAGTTGTTGGATGAGGCTTCGGTTGGAAAGATGTTTGAAGGATAGAAGGACAGGGTAGACATCATTGGCAAAACCAAGGCAGTGTCAAATCATAAAAGTATTAAGTAGGTAATCAAGACAGGGACCCAGGCATGGGAAATGCGATACGATCTATTTAACCCCAACTGGATCCTAGGTGAATATTGCATCTTGGTTATAAGACACAAGCCCACTTCTAAGAACTAGTACCCAGAACTAGGGATTGAAGACTCAGTAAAGGTGACTTAATGTTGCATCTGAAATATTCAGCTAAAGTTTCTTGATGGCTCCCACTGACGGTCTCAGAGAATGTGGGAGAGGGTTAGGCTGCCCAAACCAAGGGAGGGTTGAACCTAGGACTCCTGGAGGGCCTGACCCTGCAGCTTTCAGGGGCCACCGGGCGAGCAGGAGGTGGCTCCAGGGCTTCCTCTGGGAGGACAAAAAAAAGAAAAGGGTATTTTTTTGAAATAATGTTTAGGAGCTCTGAATTTTAATTTATATCACAATTTTTAAAGCTAAGCACCATACTATAAATTCAGCTCATATGCAGTGAGCAAAACACTGGGCCAGATTTTGCCAGCTAGTCAATGGTGAATAATGCCTAATTCCTGCTCCCCAAGTTTACAGTCTAACGGAGAGCATACAAAAAACGTAAAAGTGCTGTAAATAACAAACGTTATCTACTTGAACAAAAACACTCTGAGGTACGAGCTTCCCTGGAGGCGCAGTGGTTAAGAATCCGCCTGCCATTGCAGGGGACAGAGGTTTGATCCCTGGTCCAGGAAGATCCCACATGCTGTGAAGCAACTAAGCTCATATGCCACAACTACTGAACCTGCGCTCTACAGCCCACAAGCCACAACTACTGAGCCCACATGCCACAACTACTGAAGCCAGTGAGCCACAACTACTGAGCCCACGTGCCACAACTCCTGAAGTCAGCGAGCCACAACTACTTAAGTCCTCGCACCTGGAGCCCGTGCTCTGCAACAAGAGAAGCCGCCACAATGAGAAGCCCACGCGCAGCAACGAAGACCCAATGCAGCTAAAAATTAATTAATTAATTAAAAAACAAAGACTCTGAGGTAGGTAGGGCAAGAATTAACCATAAAAGCCGCCTTTATTGGGTCAGGCACTGTGCCAACTGCTTCATATTTTCATAATATTAGTTCTTATAAACACATTGTAAGATATATAAGTAACCAGAAGTTAAATGGGACTTTCTTTGTGGTCAAAAAATTGTCACCAAGATCCCAAATTGAATGAGTAAAAGGTGTTCAGTACCCAGGATTCTAAAGAGAGAGCTTCTAGGCATAGGGTCTAGGAATATGCATCTTAACAAATATTCCAAGTGATTCTAATAAAGCAATACATTAATAAAGTAGTATTTATTAACGTCGTATATATCTGAACTTTGAAAATGCTGGCCTAAAGCATATTCAAGGAATAATGAATTCTCAAGTGTAGTTAGAGCTCAGAATACTTATAGCAATGGGAAATCTGTTCTGAATTTTGTCCTGGGGACATTTTTTGTACATGGCCTTCCATGCAGGGCCCAGGGGACTGGACTTTATTCATTAGGAATGGGACTGACTGAAGATTAATTAAAACTTCAGCTTTTAAGCAGGCAAAAGATGTGATCAGAACTTTGGTGGAGGATAATTAATCTAGCAAAAAAAAACGTAGGAAAGATTGGAGAGGATGAGAAAGAGGCTAGAGGCAGAGAAGCTAGTTTGAAAGACATTGTGATCATCAAGGTGAGCATTACTACTACTGCTGCTGCTGCTGATGGTGATGGTAGTGGTGAGGATAGTGGTGGAGAGATGGTGGTGAGGTGATAATGATGGTGGTGGTAGAGTTGGTGGTCATGGTGGTGGTAGTGGTGATGGTGAAGGTGGTAATGATGGTGGTGGTGATAGATTAAGCACTGAAGCATCTCTGATCTGTCAGAGTGAGACCCTGAAATAGGACCACTGCTCTCATTTTGGCCCCACCATCAAAATAGAGCTCCCTGCTCTAAATGAATTCTTGTAAAGCAAAGGCAGGGACCACAGCAAGGCTCCAAAAGCAGGGTAGGGCAGGAGTCAGGGAAAGCTGACATTACTGGATTCCAGTATTTGCCTACTGTACATTTCCTTACTTTAAAGTAATCTCCAAAGGGAATTCCCTGGCAGTCCAGTGGTTAGGACTCTGCACTTCCACTGCCAGGGCCCAGGGTTCAATCCCTGTTCAGGGAACTAAGATCCCCCATGCTGCACAGAGCAGCATGCAAAAATGAATGAATGAGTGAATAAATAAATGTAATCTCCAAGAGTATGCATACCTATTTGTGCTAGGTACTGCTGTCCAGTGATACCCACTATCCCAACTCTTAGGTAAATATTTGGGGCCTCATTTGGTGAAATTTGGACTTGCCTTGTTCTTACTTTTTTCACAGTAAACAATATACTATTTAAAACATCTTTAAGCTTATCTTTATTCTGGACAGGCTCATGCTCACATAGCCTTCCAGAATTGCAAAATAGTCTACAAATCCCAGGTGTCATACCTGCAGAATACTTCGGTGGGTTTAGAATATTTCGTTGGAAAATGTTTATACACACTTACTGCTTTCATAATTTTACATGGTTAAAACAGGAGAGCAGGTCACTTCCCCATCAGGACATGCACCTACACAGCTGCCTGCTTTTAGTCCCTACTCTGTAGATCTGACCTTCCTTGAGACAGTGTCACTTCCTGGTGACAACTTAGTAAAGTATCAACAAATCACTGAAGAGGCATATGTGGGCCTTGATCCGGGGGCGGGTCAATTCTGCAATTCAGTGGCGTGATCATTTCGCCTTAAGTAAAATACAGAAAGCAGAGCCATCCTAAATGGATTCCTAATGACACACCATTTTCCTAGTTCCATATTCAATTTTCAAGTAATAGAGTACGGTAAAGGATAATTTCAAACTTTCTATCGTAGTCCCAACGTTGTCATTATTCAAAGGGAATGGTTTCTTCTTCAAAGCAATCCTACCATACATGCTCTAGGCTCTTCGAAAAGTAGTTGGTTTTTGTGATGTCGGAGATATTCTCTCTTATAGATCTTTAGTAGCAGCTCTAGTAGTATAGAATTTAAGTACATTATATCCTATTCCTCCTTAAAACCTGATATATTATTGATATATTATTCATCAAAGGCTCCTAGAAAGATCAAAGTAAAATGTTGTAAGCCAAGAAATTGGTCTAGAATAACTAAATTGTTTGTTTCTGCCATTCATACCTTAACAGAAATGAAACATTCCTAAAAACAGACTGTGCTTGGATGATAGAGAAAAACTGAACACCTTTTTATATGTTTATAACCTTTCTATATTTTTTTACTATATATACATCTAATGAAACAGGGGCTTTTAAAGTAAGACTTGAGAAGAAAGAATTATAGAAAGTCACATTTTAAAAAAATATTTGGTATAATAACTGTCATTTCCAAATTAGTTTAATTTACATCTCAATTTATTTTAAGTCCAAACCTCAAATATCTTCATCTGGAATCATAAACTAGAAGCTCACAGACATATTTTGTCCACTAACGTGTTGAGTTTCCACATCATTTTTTAATTTTTTTTTAAGAGGGACTCCATTATCTTTATTTATTTTTTAATCGTCTTTTGGCCACGTTGGGTATTTGTTGCTGTGCTCGGGCTTTCTCTAATTGCAGCAAGCAGGGGCTACTCTTCGTTGCAGGGCGCAGGCTTCTCATCATGGTGGCTTTTCTTGTTGAGGAGCATGGCCTCTAGGAGAGCAGGCTTCAGTAGTTGCAGCACGTGGGCTCAGTAGTTGCAGCACATGGGCCATAGGGTACGCGGACTTCAGTAGCTGTGACTTGTGGGCTCTAGAGGGCAGGCTCAGTAGTTATGGCGCATGGGCTTAGTTGCTTCACGGCAGCTGCCGGACCGGGGATCGAATCCGTGTCCCCTGCGTTGGCAGGCAGACTCTTAACCACTGCACCACCAGGGAAGTCCCACATCATTTTTAAAACACAAATGTAATAGGCAGTTATTGTGCTTGGTGGTAATACCAGCAGTTTAGCTGTGACTTTTGACCTAGATCATCCCTTCACTTTATATATACCAAGAAATGGAAACTCAAATAAATTAAGCATCTGTCAGCACCCAGCTAGTCAGTGACAGAACCTAGAAAACCCAGGTGTCCTGACTCCTAACTGGTAAGTTTCTCCAGTGTCTGCTGGAATTGGGGTATGGGTGGCAATAATAATGCCAATAACAGTAGTAGTAATAATGAAAATGAGAATAATAGAATAGTTAACCAAGTATTGCTTACCTGATATAAGCTATAAGCTTTGCATATTATCTCATTAATTTCATAGCAACTATAAGAAAGATCATTTTTTTAATTTATCAAACTCAGTCTTAGAGAATTAGAGTAACTTGTCTCATTCTTCCCACTACACTATCTCACAAAATGATATCTAGTATTTATCGAATGCCTACCATGTGCCTTGAAATGTGCACTTGTATATTTCATTTTTTTATCCTTAAAGCATCGCTATGAGGTAGGTATTATTATACGCATTTTAAAGATTAGGAAAATGAAGCTCAGAGAATTCAAGCGAATTGCCCATGATATCATAGAAAGAGCATTAAACTACTCCTTCTTTCCACACACAAAATAAATCCAAATGAATTTAAAATCTGAGCACTAACAC